TATATATGTATGTATATGTATATATGTATGTATATATATCATATAATAAAGTATCTCTTTGGAGATCTCGACTTGTTTAAAATGCTTAAAGATTACCTTATTGTCCCTACAAAGAGAACAGGATCCTGTGGAATAATCGCAAGTTTTGATCTAAGGAACTGTAGATCAAGCGTACTAATATCAATACCGTCGATGGTTATAAAGCCAGAACTCAATTCAACCAGACGGTATATGCAAACACCTAGTGATGATTTACCTGAAATGCAGGACAATAACCATAACAAATTATTTGAATTAATATTAGTTAGGTACAATACTACTTGTACACTGAATTCCTCCATGTGTAAATCGACTGAAAGTTCAGCAGACGCAGTGCACCCAGCTAAACACATTGGGCTTTACATCTGGAGATTGGCGTACCGGTATGTGTTGGTGAACTGGGTACTCAAATTATCGGGAGAAGTTCTCTGTAGTATTTTTTTTTTTACAGAGTATAGGTCTAGAGTTATTTAGCCTACGCGTAGTAGTAAAGTAGTGTACACGGGACCCGACACAGGACGGTACCGGGACATTCCACAGGAAATATAACTTATGAAGAAGGGACGCAGAGATGTCGATGGTTGAGCGCATCACTATTAACTCACCTGATCCGGTCCTACCCACAATACCAATCTTTTCATTTGATTTGATGTGAAGCGTAATACCGTTTAGAACCAATGGTAGATTATCTCGATAACGCATCTTGACATCTTTAAAGACGATTTCTCCCCCAGCAGGCCAACTTGCGTCCAGCTTAATCTGTGAACATTTTGTAATTTGTCCTTCACTTTCTAAGTTCTGCAAAAATGTATTTAAATTATCAATAAAATTAGCATACTCTTGAAAAAATGACGTAATATAGACAATGGATGAAATTTAGTACCCCACCAAGGAGGTAGGCCTAGCATTCATTCCTGTGTGTAAGTCGGTTAGCAAAATTACGCCAAAACTAAGGATTGGATCATCATATAAATTTTTGGAATGGTATATAAAAATCTAACAAAGAGATAATGGAAAGAAAAGGGCGAATTAACATGCCTCCGAGTATGAAAGAAAATAATGGAATCACTCATACACGGCGTGCGTGTTGTTCGATATCCAGGCACAGAGGGCACTTCCGGACTGTTCTATTTCAATAATGTGGTATATCATAATTATTCAATTCTTTTACACATTATATTTGTCCATCAACGACACTGTGGCTAAAGTAAGGTTGCAGAGGAGACTTTCGGTTTATTTTTAACTCCGACTTTTTTTTTTGTTGCGAGTAAAAATATAACATAAAAAACTGCCCCAACTCCCTAATATCAAAATAATGTTTAATATTCTGGTAACAACAGGAACAACAACAACAACGACAACAGTGAGGTTCTGGGGTCCGCTTTGCGCGGATTCAACAATTCTAACGGAAACAATTAGTGGATAATGAATACTGTAGTCAAAATATCATAATGTTTTAGTTAAGTTGTATAACTTTAATAAATATCTGAAAATGTATGTCTACAACTTTAATACATGAAAGTTACATGTTATAGTTGACAGTTCATAGCTACATTATTTAAAATAAATTTAGACTCTCTACGCTGAACCCCCTTAAGTTGTTTGATATAAGATGACCGGACTAGAGCATTATTCTAGAACTATGAACAAAACATAGATAAAAAGACATGAAAATGTCAATTAAAACAAACAAGCTAAACTAAACCTAGTATTCCATTTGCTTTACGATTGAAAACGTGCAAAGCGCTTTTCAAGTTACTAGATAGTCGAGATTATGAATAAATCATAATTTCAGGAACGCGTACATGAATTTTATTATCAATTGTATAAATAATATAATAATAAGAATAATAATAATAATAATAATAATTATTATTATTATTATTATTATTATTATTATCATTATTATTATTATTATTATTATTATATTATACTATTATTATTATTATTATATTATTATACTATTATTATTATTACGACTGTTTCTGTTATATCTCGTAGGTATATTACTTACCTTCATATAATTTATCAAGCGCTCTGCTGACGTAAATCTGGCTTCAGACTCAATACACAATCGAATAGTATATTGGAAAGATCCTAAAAGCTAAATAACATGTATTGATATTACTCAAGTAAATCCAGAAATGTTCAATAGCAGAGGCAGCCAATCAACTAATTACCTATATAATAAGTTTATTACATGTC